CTTTATGGTTACAGCTGAAGATTTTTATAGTTACTAGTTGTTATTTCGATAGAATTTTTTTAGTTACTAGACATTTCCGACACAGTTTAATTGATTTTTTGCAGATTCATATTTCGTCTTCCCAAATTGTGCTTGATTTATAGTTGCTAGATTTAAAAAGTTTAGAATTGAATAAAACTTGTTAGAGATTATTTTCATATTTTTATTGTTTCTATTAATTTTTCAACTATATATCTTGATGATTGTATTTCAAACTGCATGTGTAGTCAGTATAAGAAATTCTGACTTTATTCATTTGTAAATATTCTTTTTTTTTTTTAATTTTCTATAAATCTCTAAGCGATTTATAGATGCGCTGTTTTGTACTTATGGATTGCTCCAAACTATCATACGGCAGTATATCTTCGTAAAACGAGTATTGTAAATATATTGTTTGACAATTTTTCACATTTTTATTTTCGAACTAATTTTAATTGTCATTCAAAATGTTTACGTTTGATAATTTTTTAATTATTTTAGCTGTAAGGATAAGAGTAGATTGAAATATTTGCATCAATTTTAATGTTCAATAACTTGAAATGCCACAATCAGTGTGCATTTTTTATTTTAAATATATTCCGATGTTTTCATTTTCTCGCGTTAATGTACCTGCTATAAGCAATGGATGTAACATTTTTCTTTCTATGAAACATATACTTTTTCATGTTAGGTTAATTGTTCGTTGTTGTGCTTGGAAATTAGAGTCCATTGTTTATCCGAATTTTTTTTAGTATGCTGGTGAGAGTTTTTATTTAATACATATTTGTTTATCCAATATATATTTGTCTTTTGTGTCCTTGTACTTTTGAACATTGTTTATTTTGTTTGTTTATTGCTTACAGTTCATGTTTTTTTTTTGCGACCACAACTATTTGTCATGACGTACTTTTTTATTCTTAAAAATTCTTTTAGGATACTTTTTTTAATGTATCTCCTCATAATTCATCCATAAACTAACAATTATAGTTTGTAATTTTTAAAAGGGCTATAATCTCGAGTGTAAGAAATATTTTTGATTTTATTTCACAACCTTTTTATTTTCCTACTTTGTTGCTTTATTTATTGTATTTGAGATTTGAATTATTTTTTTTAACGTTCTCTTTTTTTAAATTCTTACTTTTGTCGAATTTATCATTCACTGGCAACATTATAACAATTTGTGCTTTTGGTAAGACAATATTCTTTTCGCACTTTTATGCCTAAGGATGATACAGAAGCTTTAACTCAGGTCAGTCTTTTGACTTATTCTAGTAATGAAGATTGCATTAATGAATTCTTTTGTTGCTTCATCTATTGTATTTGAGATTTGGATTGTTTTTTCCAACATTCCTTTTCGTAAATTCTTTCTTTTGTCTCTAGTAGTCGAGTATGACATTTTCTTATATGCCATATATATAAGTTATTGATTGCTTTATTTTAGCATTTTTTGACAGAGAAATGATTATGCAGAGGAATAGTGTTTCTCGGTGACTGGTTCGGTTGTTTTTTTTGTGTTCCATTATCTTGGACTTTAGTTCTCTTGTTGAGGATTTTGCTTTTTGTAAAGTTTACTAATTCGTGTAGGTTTTCATAGTAAGTTACTGTAAGTCGCTATCAAACCATTTGATGTGAAATGAACAATGAGTCAAATGTGTAACTTTTAACTGTTCTAATTGTCTAAGTTATCCATTTGAATTTCCACTTTGATTGATTGATTGGTGTGTTCATTCTTGTTGTCTCTTGTTTATTTAACTCTTTGCACATAATCAATTTATTACTTTTCTCACTACTTCATTCCTTTCAAATATTCCGTTTTTCATTGCTTCTTTTTTCTATGTTTTTTATTTTTCAAATTTCCGTTATCTCATTGCATTCCTTCTATTCATCATTCAATTCTTAAATTCATTTATTTGTATAAACAGTTTTGCATTTCTGCCCTCTCCATTTTTCTCTTCATTTGAAGAATTTGAAACATTTAATTGACTTCTTTAATATAATTTTTCGTCTGTTTTATCAACATTTGACGAATAAACAAATGAGTAGCTTCACCCATTTGTTTATTGTTATCACTGAAAACGCATACTTTTTTCCTATTAGACCTACTTTATCTTGCATGTTTTTGGTTTTTTTTTCCATTCGCTTTACTCATTTTTCCCTTAGAAAACTGTTGACACTGCATATCTTTATTATAATTTGACTTATCTTATTTCACATATTTTTTTACTTATCCTTACTCATTTTAATTATTAACATTTTTGTCAGTGACATTGCTTTTTCTTCTAATTTTATTTACATGTTTATTACTCCATTCATTTTTCTATTGTTGCTGACATTGCATGTTCTTTCTTATCTAATTTTGCATGTTTTTTTTTTACTTACTTTACTCATTTTTATTGCTGACATTGTATGCCTTTTTCTTAGTTTGACTTACTTTTTTATTCACTTACTCAATTTTATTACTGACATTGCATGCTTTTTCTTCTAATTCGACTTATTTTATTTGTATGTTTTTTACTCACTTTACTCATTCTTCTGTTGTTATTATTGACCAATGTCAGTAACTCTATTACTTTTTACTCTATTCTTTTTACTCTATGCATGCTTTCTATCTATTTAATTTTGCACGTTTTTTACCCATTTTACTCATTTTTTTATTATTACTAATGACATTGCATGCTTTTTCCTTAATTTGGCTTACTCTATTTTGGATATTTTTACTCTATTCTTTACCCTATTTTATTCTCTTTTCTACTCTTTTTACTCTATTCTTATTTATTT